GGTCAAATGTGAATAGTCGATTATTAATAATCACTAATAGTAATAATAATAATAATAATAATTAATTACAACCGGTCAATATTAATGTTAACCGAATAGAGCGGTTAAAGTGAATAATTTAAGCGAATGGATCACATAAACCGGTTATTATTTATAATAACCGGTGAAGTTAGGTCAATGTCATTCTTTCGCGTTTTTATTGGGGATATTTCCGTATCGTGATCTACCACGCCAACTACAATAGCCGAGTCACCAAATTTATTTTAAACTGGAAATTTAAAAATAATAAATAAATAAAAATAAAAAAATTTTAAAAAATTAAAAATAAAAAAAAATAATAATAAAAAATAAAAACCTTGGATTTTTACCCAGGGTTGATAAGAGTACGGGTGAACCCCTTCGAGTTGGTCTCTTTCTGTGATTCTTTTTTTTTTTTTAAGTGTCTCGCGGGCAGCTGCCTGGTTGTTGCCAAAACTTGGCAATTATTCTGCCGCAGATCCCAATATAGAAATCTCTCCTTTTTATTTCTCACTTGACCAAAAGGACCGGTTATTATTAATTTTGACAGGTTAGTATTAATAATAACCAGATTTATCATTACATGAAGTTAAAATAAATAGGATATATCCTATAAATAGGATAAATTAGAAAAATCGATTGTTTTTACACACTATTTGCCTATACATTTGAAATAAGACTTCACTTTTATTCGCTAACAGATATACGCACTTTTTTATAAATTAAATTATGAAATATTGATGCACACTCATAAGTGAAATAATATATATTCTCTGATGATAAAAGAAAAAAAAATTGTTTTGTTCTGCTCTCGAGATTATTATAATTTTTCAAAGATACTTATTTTTTATTTTTATTCTTTTTGTGGAAACCATTGTTGAAAATAATGTCTAGTACAGATTATAAAGCAACCAAAATAACCTGGCATTTCCATTATCAATTCAAACATTTTATATCTTAAATTTCTAAACACATAAACAAAGGGATAAAGAAAATGCAATTTATAACACTCTTCTATTAGGGTTTGAGAATATTGAAAAGGGTAATGTATATTTCAAAATAGACGACAAGAGGCTTTTGTATTGTTACTTGTCAACTCATAAATTTCTTTTTTCATGTAAATTGCCCTAACATTGTTGTTGGATAGATAAAATGTCACAGGTAATTCTTTTTACCTTATTTTTTTGTATAAGAGAACCGAAAGACTCTAAATAAAATTTCTCAGGTTCATAAATATATATACGCAAGCTTGTGGGGTAGAATTTAATAGATTATTACTATATATTGATTTTATCTCATAGTAAAATAATAGTAAAATAATATTTAAATTTGTGCATTATATTTATTTGTAGATAATCATATTTCAAGTTAAGTTCCTGTCAAACAATCAAATGATATCAATCAAATCGATTCAATCAATAAAGCATTATTAATTAAATAAATTAAATTAATCTAATAATTAAACTAAATTACGTAATACTCAAATTATACAATTGAAAAAATCATTTGATTTACGCATAATTTAGTCTAACTAATAGATTAATTTAACTTAGTTAAAAAAAAAGTATATATTTTTTCAAGAAACTCATTAAGAGATAATTATTTTGTGAAGCTAAGTAAGTAATTATTTGTTTTGTAATGTAATTATTTGCAAAGAGATAATCAGTTTCCTCAAATCGTAGTATCTGTTAATTAATTAAGCATTAATTATTTAGCTGAAATTCTTTCTACTTATATGTTCCGTTTCTTCACTAATTTCTCTTATTAAAAAGGAAAGACTTTGCCTCTTTGGCAATGCTAAGTTTCGTTCTTTTAACTCTAAATTATGATTTTTGACACAATGACAGATTATTGTAGCAAACAATAGACAAGATCACTGTCAATAAATAACACCTTCAATAAATAGGCAGTAATCTCACCTACTGTTTCGTTCAAGAACTTATCAGAATATTGAATTACTGAAAAACAGATCTCTCTTAAATATTAGAACACTAGCTTAATGTACTTCGAACTGTACTGAAGTACTTCGCACTGGGTGAAGTTTTTGCATCAATAAATCAGTACTGAAATCATTAGTACTGAATCATCAGTAAATCATTACAAAATCGAGCACAAAACTGTAAGCTGAATACCACGATAAAGCTGAAATAATTCCAATATTTTTCTTTATTATTATTTGTTGCCCTTCATAGTGGCTTTACGTTATTATATTAAGCAAACACGTATTTATTGGTTCATCCCATCAAAAAAAAGATTAATTCCGATCAGTATAATTTGGCATAATGCTGTTGCTCGAGGAAACTCATAATGTTTAAAATTTACCAAAATCAAGCTACATTACCATGAAGCCAGTAATGTTTATTACCAAAATTAAACATCATTGGTGGCAATAATAGAAAAACGACTTCTTACGTTTCCATAACGAAGAGAACATTTCACCCTTAGTTTTGATCTTTCGTACACAGCTCATTAATTTTTATTTTAATTATTTCCTATTGCCAAAATTAGTCAAGCATCATTTTATTTCATTTTATAACCGTCGTTGAAAAGCCGACACAATTTTGGGTTTAAGACTACTAATGTTAAATTCCGTAGTTTTGTAATTTTGAACCTAATCCAGAAGACTAGAGAACTTCTGGATCAAGTGTGGGAGAAATTTGTCTTCTTGGAGGATTTTTTGATGGAACTAACCCGCATTTGCGTTACATGGAAACCAAGGGGACTCTAACCCATGATCCGTCTACCACTGAGGATAATTTGCGTCAGCTCTGTGGTCGGTTGGAGCCGGGTGTGAAATTCGTATCGACCTGCCATTGCTGGGATTTGAACCCGGATCACTTCATTGAAAGGCGAATGATCTATCTCCTGAGCCAGCACTGCTCAGTCAAACATCATTGACATCAATAATAGATTGACGATTTTTTTTAACTTTCCTAAACGAATGAGTAATATTTCTCCATTAATTTTGCATTTTGTACATAGCCTAGTACTTTACTTTAATTAGTAGCTTTTATCAAAATTAATTATCATTGGCATCAATTTGTTCAAACATTGGTGATAATTTTAAGTCTCAAGGAATTAATACCATTTATCCATTATTTTTTTCTTTTCAGTACGAAACTTTTTTTCATTTAATTACCGTTGATATTTAATTACTTAGTTTTATAGTGACGCATTTTAGAAAGATGATTTTAAAAGACATTTTATAAAGAAATAAACACGCCGTATCAGATAACCTTAGAAGTACTACTTTGTCAAATTCTGCTTCCGACTCTCCCCAACCACAATGCTTACGTAAAATATCCTCTGTGGTAGACGGTACATGCGTTAGAATATCTTTGCTATCGGGCTAACCGTCGCAGGTTTTCGGGGTTTTTCTCTCCATGTAACGTAAATGCGAATTAGTTCCATCAAAAAGACCACCCTGAAAAGCTAGTTTGTCCCAATACGTGATTCATATGTTCTCTTGTCTTCTGAGTTTATTTCAAACTTACAGAGCAACGGGGTTGAACATTGATTGTCGTAAACTCAGAAATGAGTCAGCTGCTTAACGCTGGTTACAAAAAATATTAGAAATGAATTCTTTGGCTGTAGTTCATTTCCTCTCCTCTAAATAAAATCACAAGTTGGAAACACTTGGCCACCATGGTAATTTTCTAGATATTTTAAATCAAGATTTTTGAAAGACCGATAAGTTCTTGAAAGAAATTATGGGCGAAATAATTGTTTCTTCAATAATGTTTTTCTCCTCAAGAAATTTCTAGGATACCAGAAATTGTGGAAACATATTTTCCCTAAAATTGTAGAATTAGAAGAAATAATTTATTTTGCCTAATAATTACTTCTTGTAATTCTACATTCATAACATTCCATTCATTTACCCCCTATCATTCATTCATCTCCTCTATTTACATAACCGGTGTTCCAGGCAATGTTCTAGCTTTTTATTAAATAAATTATTTTTGCCTGTCTGAGAAATTCTTGAAACAAACAATCGACAAAGCAAATGTCTCTTCAATCAGAAAACTATTATCGTGAGTTTTGTTCTAAAACTTGTCAGAAAACCAGAAGTAATTATTTTAAAAACCTCATAAAATTGTGTCCATTGTCAATTTTCAGGACAGGTTTAATTACTCGTGCAAACGAATATTTGTACTCCATTGCAAGTTTAAAAAAAAACTAATTTCGGTATAGGATCTAATCCGCGTCTGTTTGATTTCGTTATCAAATTATACAAATATGCTTTCAAAACAATATAAAAACTTTTAAAAGAAAAACACGTCAGACAGAAATTTAATTCGGGCTATCTTTTGCGATATATATTAAAGAATTCTTAAAAAAAGAAATTAAACTTTCGAAGTTTTACTGGATTCCTAGACTTGACTACTTATTTCGATGAACAAGGAGAACGTTCGTTCTTGAAAAAGAACTATATGACGTTGCCAGAGCATTGGATTTGATTGCTCCACTAAAAAAAGGCGCTTCTTACGCAGACATGACTTTAAAAAATCAAGATAAATCAAGATCAAGATTAAAAATCGAGATAAAGATTTTTTTTTACTTCTTTTTCGCTGTAGAAGAAAATTGTCTGCAAGAAACAATATTTATTATTCTTTTATCAGTTTCTTTAAATGCGAACAGAAAGACTTGTATTTACTACAATTTCTAAATAACAGTTTTATTACTTCTTGCTGCTTGTTAATTGATTATTGCTGTTAATACGAATAAAGGCAAATAAGAGGCTGTACAACGTCACTTCGAAAGTTGGTGATGTTGATGTACGTTCGCGCTGGTAGTATGGCATACATCTGGCGTGCACTTAGATGCAAACAGGGATAATGGTTTTTCTTTAAAAAACTTGCAACAAAATATAGAAATTAGCAGCAGATAAGAAAAGTTTGGCTGACATTTGTCAATTTCACATAATTCTGTGATATATTTTTGTTCTAAAAACAAGAAATGATACAATATTACTTTTTCAGATGATGCGTTGCACGTGACGCTTCTTGCCGGAGGAGTTGCATTGCTTCTACTTTTACCATTGGCATACACACTTTACCGGTGCAGAAGGCGCAGTTCTGTCTATGAAGACATTCCAGAAAACAGCATTAACAGAAAGAGGGCATCAAGATGTTCTCAAGCATCGATATTCAGCGCCACGTAAGCATTTATATATATATTTTTTTATTGAACCTCAACTTAAAGAAACGTAAGAACTGAATAGCTTATTGCAGTGAATTAAAATAGACTATTTTTAAGGAAATTAAAATAGACTTTAGCTTGTCAACCAATTTTATTTAACTTTTTTTGAGCCTAGAGAAAATATTTTTGAAATAATAACTTAATAGTGAGACCAAGCAGTTGAGACTTAAATGATGTCTAAATGTATGTACTCAGATATATATATATATATATATATATATATATATATATATATATATTTGTACGTTAGGGGCATTTGTGTGTGTTTATGTACATTTGAGTCTTCTTATCACTGTTGGTACTCAAACTCTCTCCTTCTACTTATTGGTTTAAAGACCATAAAATGGCTCTCTTAGCTACTGCTTTTTCGAGTTATCACCCACAACATTAGACCCATAGCTAATGAGTACAAAACTTAATAACGTAATGCATTATCACAAATGTATTGCGATACTTTCCTTATTAATCTAATATCTACATTGGTATTGTGGCGTAACTACCACTACGATCATTAAACATCAATTCACAAGTATATAAGACGTGCTAACTCGATTCAATCTTGAAGTATCTTTAGATAGAAGAACGTTGGCATTATCGATTTCTACTCTCCCCACATTGGTGACCCGGACGTATTGCGGCGTAACTACAACTACTATTATTAAACATCAGTTCACTAAAATATAAGGCATGCTAACTCGATTCTATCATGGGGTATCTCTTGCTAGATAATGGTTGACATTGTCGATAACGTATTTCCCTCCATTGGTGGGCTGCGGCCGTTATATGAATGCGCTTTCTTCGATGGATGGTACACAAGGAGAAGTTGACTTGCTGTTTGTGAATGTGTCATCGTCATCCTCGCGCATTTGCAACTCAGTCTAATTTACACACAACGGGATCCTGCACACACTTGACTGCTAATAGCAACACAGGGAAGACCACACACAGCCGTGTGCTTAATACAACTCTCGCAACAAACACTCAAAACTCGGTGAAAATAGTACAGCTCTCACCACAAGTGCTCAAAATCCGGTGAGCTTAACACAGCTCTCCCGGTTTTTCACAGATACGGCAACTAGTGGTATCCTTTCATCGAATTCTATCCTTGATAAAATTCTGGTGGGAGAGTATTGTGGCGTAACTACCACTTTGATTATTAAACATCAGTTCACTAGTATATAGGACATGCTAACTCGATTCAATCTTGAGGTACCTTTAGATAATTGTCGATTTCTACTATCCCTACATTATCAATATTTTTTTTACCCCAATAAAATGTAGCAACATTCAGAATAATATTGCATTCAATAAATGTCACTTTGTGTAACATTTCAGATATTATCACATTCGATGCATCTATGAATATTATCGGTAGCCAGAAACCTAAGTAAATCACTTTTAGGTGAAATTGTCTTTATAGTACTAATAAACAATACGTACTGATTTCTTAATGATCATGATATTTATGGTAATGATAATGATATATATGATTTGTTAATTATGTTTTCAATTAAAAGATAATAATGAAAATTTTGAGAATCTAAAATTCGAGATCAGAAAAGATGTGAACAATTAGTTATTATTATTTATAATTAGTATTAAAATGTTTATTAGAATTTAAATTAAAGTAATATATCCATAAATTTAAAAGCTATTAAGTTGAAATGCCGTTTGGGCGAATATAAATAAGCATGTCCAGTTTAATATTACAGTCACATATATTATTTCCTAAATTTCCTATAACTTACGTTAGCCTGTATATTTGTTTCTAGCGGGTTTTACTTCTACCATTAGACTGTGAGTTTATCGTGTTTTAAGGATAATTAAATTGTTCCATTGGTTCCTCTGCTGCTTTCACGAGACCTCACGTTTTAATCGGATACCTACAAATGACGTAGTGCAGGTATCCCAATCCTGATTGGTTCGTAGCATTCGTTTACGCTAGTAACTGTTCTTTTCATTCTATTTCGAGTAAACCAAACCCGTCAAACCTTAATTCTCTTAAGTGACGCATTTTATATTCTTTAACATTGATTCTCTCACAAACATTTCAATTCTTTCACTATATATTTCTTTCTTAACACAAAGACTGGCATGAAGACAGGCATACTAATTATGCATCGAAGTTCCCAGATACACGAAACAAAAATATATCACTGCTACATTCAAATTTACTACTGTCGAATTCTTGGCCATAGATGGCGCCACTGAAAAACAAGAACAATCGCACCCCCTCTGCCTAAACAGGCATACGTCAGCAACAACAGCATTCAAATTTACTAAAAAATAATAAATCTAAAGTTAAGTAAAGGAAGTCGAAGAAAGTATTAAAAGTATTAAAGAAAGTATTAAATTTCATCAAATTTGATGTGGTATACGGCGCTGTATTTAATTAACTTCACGCTAATTGACATTCTAACTTATGCGGAGAAGCTAAGCTCAACTTTAACACGCCATTTTGCTTATCAACGATCGGCTGTTGCTGACGTTATAGATCACGTGATCTTCTTGAAATGAAAGTACCCAGATATAATTTTTTGCATTTTAGTTTTTGTTCATCAATGAAATTTCGATGCTGTACCCGAAAAATATTATACCAGAAAAAAACCACTCCTTTAAAATTAGCAAACTTTTGAAAAACGGGACCACGAGAACTAGTGCAACTGCTGTGCTAACGTTCTCGTTCCAGATATTTCTCTTTCATGTATAGAGATTGAAAGTGGGATTCCACTAAAAGGAAGAAGAACATTTAGGATTTCATAACAGAAAAAATTGGGAACCACTGACTTGGTGATTGAAAAAAAATCGATTTGTAGGAAAATGTCGGTAGAATATTTTATGGAAGGGGACTTTTAAATCTCAAAACACACACCAATTCTGCAACTTCTTCCACGACGCATTCACAAAATAAACATTTCTGGAAAGTTTCGAGATGGAGATGAACCATCAAATTTCCATCTTTCTGGTTCATAATTTCTTGAAAGCGTCTGAAGTATTACTTTTCTAAATATTTACTCAATAATCTAAACTATGCAGTGCTATTCCGAGCTTTTCAGTTTATGTAAATATTTAATAAATCATTGTATATAGGTACCTGAATATCACATCAATCATACACAGAAAATCGTATGAATAAATTAATTTTGAAGAAATTCGTTTTAAAAGTTCAAACAACTTAGGCTACGAGTGGAAACTTTATTGATGTCCTCTTATTTGCGTTAACAATCGAAAAGATATCCTGACTTATTTGTCTTGTATGCAAACATGAGGGTAGATCTTACTTTCAATATTTGTTCCAAACATGTGCTGATATAATAGCAGGTAGCTGGAAGATGCAATTATTTTGTTCGGAACCTTCCTTAAATTTTCGATTTTCATTTCTAATTATTGTAAAACTAACGTTTAAAAGGATAAATAGATAAATAAAAATAAGTTTCAGTTGCTCTCGATTTATGTTCAAATTTTTGTCAAAATAATTCAGCAAAACATTTTACTAGAAAATTGTGTTTCTATTATCTACATTGAAAGAAATTCCAAAATAAATTACGGTATGAAGTAACGGCACTTTGGGTGCATCATCCGTAAAACCCTATTACAGTAAAATCCATTTTTACGGTAAAATATAATATCATAATTTTTATGCCAAGTTATATCTTTAGAGCGATTTCATGGCAATAATTACTTCAAAAATTACAGTATATCAGATTACCATCCGTAATATGTTCAGAAAAAAATATATTTTACGGTAAAAAAGTACCGGTACCCTGAGTGCCGGTACGTAACGTATATCATAAAGGTAAAGTCACAGAGAAGGGTCATAAAAAGTAATCAATAAATTGAAATGAAATTATTTTAGCTTTATTAATTGAAGATCTTAGTGGAAAACCTGGTAAATGACATTTTCAAGGACGCAATAATCAGGATAAGAAGGGAAAAATGGCCTCCGAACTATTTTAGTACCGATTAATTGGAATGGGGACTAATAGTTCTTTGTCTTATTTTATTTAACACTGCCTAATTTGAAAATAAAAATCATGCAAGCATGCAAAAAATTAATATGGATTAGTTGGTTAAAGATTAAAATAAAAACAAAAATAATTTTGTTGAATTAAACATACCCTATTAATGCACCAATTTCAAGCTATTTTCACAACTAAATGCCTCTACTAATGTCACTTACTTGGTTCTTCCACTAAACTCTTCAATTGTGTCGGTATATAATTCTTTTCAGTTTCGTAGTATTGTTCAGTACTGATTGATTGACTTTTTTTATTCATCCCTTACGAAGAAGAGGTATTCAGCTAGTATAGTAATAAAAAACACGCTACAGCAATGTAAAGTAAACCATAGCTGTTAAATAATATCAAGATTATTTTCATCGAGATATTCGGAAGAGACAGCAAAAACTATAGCTCTTTTATAGAATGATAAACATTCCATGCCTCATGTCTGAACTATTTACATTTGTCTGGAACTTCAATTTGTCTGGAGTTCGATTTTTTCTTCTCTGGAATAATTTTTCTTCATATTTTGTTCTCGCCAAAATGACATTCTATAATAACTAACAAATCTTTCCTTCCATTGTTGCGTTAAATATTTATGCTGCATATGAATTTCCTGTAATTTTCTTCAAAGAAAAACTATTCGACGTTTTATGAGATTACTTATCTGCATTACTTACTTTTCAATCTGTATTAATATATTTTAAACCTGAATATTTTTTTTAGTATCAACAAAATGACAGTGGAAAGGTAATGAGGGAAAAAAAAGATGAACAGATTTTATAAGCAGTAATAACATTTATGACAAACACTAACTAGCATATAAAAGTTAAATGTTAATATCTAACGTAATTATTTTTATTAGCATAATTTATTATTAAAATCCATTATCATGTTTGGTAATTAAAAAAATCCAAAAAATTTTTCATTTTTGATTTTTCCCGTTTATACGACAGA